ATCGCGGGGGGGGCCCTCCCGGTCAAAAAAAAGGGGGAAAATGGGGTCCCGGGGGGGAACCCCCCGGGGGGGGGGGAAGGCCCAGCCAGGGTCCCCCCTTTTTTTCGCAACCCCCCGAATTTTCCGGGGGAGAAAAAATAAACGGGGCCACCCCGACTTTTTTTCTGTTTTTTTGGGGGGGGGGTTCCCTTTAAAAAACCGGGGGGGATGTTGGGCAAAAAAACACCCCCACCCTTCCCCCCGAGGGGGGGGTTTTCAAACGGGGGCCCCCGGGGGAGGATCCCGGGCCCTGGGGGGTATTTTCCCGGGCCCGGGGGGGGGTCCCCGGGGGGGGGGGGGGGAAAAATTTTCCGAAAAGTTCCGGGGGGAAAAGCCGGGGGAAAGGGGCAAAAGGGGGGGGGGGGGGGGGAGGGAGACAAACATAGAAAGAGGGGTGGGGTGGACACAGAGAGACACAGAGCGAGAGAGCGTGCGGGGGGGCGAAAAGAAGCGGAGGGGTGAAGAAGGCATGAGCATCGATGTAGGTGCTGCGTGCACGATGTCGTAGTGGGACAGGAAAGCAAGCTGTGCTACCGAGCTCCGGGGCGATCTTGGATGAAAATCGAGCAAGCTGTGCTTCCGAGCTCCAGGGCAATCTCGGATGAAAATCGAGCAAGCTAGACTTCTCGCCCGCCAAGACAAGACCAAGCCACCCACGCTTGGAATACATACAGCCATAGCAGTACAATAAGTACGATATGTTATTTCTCTTTGTGCGTCTCACCTCTGCCGAGCACTCGCTCTTGTGGGAAGGGTTGGACATGGGGAATATGAGAGGCCTCTCTGTACCCTCAGCCAGGGCCTGCGAGGAAACACAAGCAAGAGTTGCAGCAACAGTAGCAGTAGCAGCAGCAGCAGCAGCAGCAGCAGCAGCAGCACATGCAGCAGCAGCGCAAGCAACAAGCAGTGAGACAGGCTCGGTTCAACCAAAACCTAGGACAAATCGTAAAATCCGCACCGACCAGTGGACCAGTCAAATCGCCTCGATCGACGAGTCCCGCCGATCGGAACGACCTTTTTCCTCGGTCAGCTTTGTGTGCGTATATCACCCAGTCATCCCCCTTCGATGGGACTTAATTCATTACTATTTCCTCTCAATCGGTCAACCAACCCCGCCTGTCGAAACGCACTCACCGGCCAGTTGACCAATCCAATCCCAACATACCATAACGCGATTTTAGACCATGTCTCACCTGGATCGTCTTCGGGCTCCAGATTCGACCAGCACCAGAGAGACCGAGAAGAACCTCTGGTCGCACTTCTGTCACCACCTGCAAATAGGGCAAAAGAAAAAAAAAATGAAACGGTTACAGCTCAAGGAAGAGCGAGAAGAACACCGGGTCGCACTGCCGCACCTTCTGTCACCACCTTTAAAAAAACCAAACGGTTACAAAAAAAAATAAAAACGCAGGTAGGGCCTTCGCTGACGCCATGGATTCATTTGTTTGTTCATCTTGACCTCTTCTCTATGGGCAAATATGGATAGACATGGGTTCGCTGTGAAGTAGCGAAAAAAAGAATACACGCCAGAACGGTGTAAGGACGGGGGAGCGGGGGGTTACCGTGACGCTTTTCCTCGACGTTATGCAGAGTAGGGGAGGGTGAATGGGCACGTTTTGGTCCCACCAGGACCGAGTGAATATGGTAGCGTCTCGAGAGGTGTAACGACTGTAAGGGTGATCAGCGAGCAACAACAACAACAACAACAACACAGAACAGCACTCTATGTACTACAGCTGTACAGTCATGGGCCCGATTTAGCGGTTCCCTGTTTAGCGGGATGCCCTGAATAGCGGTTATAAAATCTCGTGACACGGCTGCACCCCGGTTTAGCGCGCTAAACCGGTCGTGCCCTCAATAGCGGTTGCTGGACATACTTTCAGCCACCAATAGCGGTTATCGGTAGAAATTTTGTAGAGACACAGCGACATTGGTCAGCCGCTTAGCTTGGTCGATGCTCGTAATAAAAGCACACAGCAACACACACACACACACACACACACACCATGCGGTGCGCGGATGGAAAGCTTTCAGGATGCGGCACTGAGTCCAAGCGGCGCGCACGATTGTAAAGGTGGCTGTGGTGGCCGCATGCACGGCATGTATAGAGAGGTGGATCGAATAACAAGCTCGTTGAGAAGTTCTCCAGTATGTACACGGAGGGGCCTTACCCCTCCGACGACGAGTTAAAGCTACAGTAGAGCTAGAGCGAGATTGTCCTGCAGAAGTTGACGGTGCGAAGGGCAAGCGGGTGATGGCGCGGCCGCCATACTCGGAGCTATCGGCGGATTCTGGCCAACTTGAAGAGCACATACAGTCCATTAGGGAAAAACAAGCTTTGCACTTTCGTGAATTGAAATGAACTAATGTGCTTGCTGTGTTGTCATCCTTAGGGTCGATACTTCTTCATCTGCACCTTCGTATGCATATGACTGCTGCAACGAGACACATGCAGGCACTTATCAAGATAAACTTTCGACGCTGCTCTTGTTCGGCAAAAATGGGCTTTTTCCCGGTTTAGCGGTTCATCACCGCTTTTGAGCCTCCTGGTTTAGCGGTTCATAACCGCCAAAGAGGTTTAGCGGCGAGCCCTGAACAGCGGTATTGAAATTTCGTGACACTTTGGACCGCGAAGCCGGGCCCACGACTGTCTGTCTCTTTCAACAAAAGATCTTTCTCTCTGCCAAGCAGCATTTTCTCTCGGGCTCTCACAGGCCTCGATTTCGATCTCTGTCGGCCGCTGACAGGCCTGCATTTTGTTTTCCCGCTTTTTCCGCTCCTTTAATTTTCCGTTCAACCGCTTTTCCGCCTTTTTCTCGCTCGAGGACCGTTTGGCGGCGGGGCTTCTTTCTGATTCGACTATATATAATGACGACAAACCTCTTCAGCCTGTCAGTCAGCTGCTGCTGCGCTATGTAAGATCTGTTGCGCGATGTAAGACGTCCATCCTCTCAGTCTTTCCTCTGCTCATAACAGTTTCTCACAGGGCTTTCATCTTTCTCTCTCTGTCACACGTCGGGATCTCCACATGTATGTGTGTACTGTACGTTCAAATTTCAACCCTCCGGGTGCGGGCTTCTTTGGGTTCCGATAATGGCCTCGATTTCGATCTCTGTCGGCCGCTGACAGGCCTGCATTTTGTTTTCCCGCTTTTTTCCGGTCCGTTAATTTTCCGTTTAGCCGCTTTTCCGTCTTTTTCTCGCTCGAGGAACGTTCCGTTGAGTACCAATAGTGGCATTTTTGGCCACAATAGCGGAGAATAAGCTTTGATGCTTTACGCTACGGACAGTTGTTCCTTGGATATTCACTCTAATGTGTCTTGTGTATGTATCTAGGGTCCCTCATTTGTTGTGTGCACCAGTATCCGCGTGAAAACGCAGGTGTCTGCCTATCACGTGTGTGTTGACACTTGATCGTCCTTGTAACAACGGGGCCTTCGGCTATCGCACCCTACCTATGTACTGCACAAACAAGTAACATTTTTTATTTTTTTGTCTTGACTGCCTATTATGCATGTTGTTGTTGTTGTTGTTGTCATCACACTACAAACCGTTCCGATCTCTCTCTACCCAGTACCTTCGTATGTCCGTACTGATCCAACACTTGACGCGGTTGATTCCCGTGGTCACAGGCTAACATACCCTATAAAGGTGCACTCAAAATAAACTGATGGGGTTCATCACAAGCAAAACACACATGTTGAAAACATCAATGTACGCGAAACTAACTGAAGCAACCAAGTTGAAAACGACGAACACTCCCCACTCCGGCGCATCAATCCCAACCGTCACGATGGTTTGCACCTGTAGGCCTCAACCGACCAATACCACTACACTATGACTGGGCAAACGCTCTGATGTCCAACTGCCGTGCCTGTCTATCACAGCATGTGCTGCGAAGAATGCCGTATTTGCCTTGCGGAGGAAATGCCCGGCCTCGCCAATGCCACACGACTCCGCGTACTCTTCTAGAGGACCAAAAAGCCTAAGACAGTTCCGCGAACGATGGCGGTGCGTTCATCCCTCCACCCCCCTCACTCTCAGAATTTTCTTCGGTGTTGTCTAGCTCTACCTCATCGTCAGAAAAGGTGTCCTCTTTGACGTACATGTTGCCAACCTTCAACAAAAAAATCTCCCTTGCGTCTTCGGACAGCTTGCGGTGAAAAACAGGGAGGCTCCGGTGTTTTGAATTGCCACTGTTGGGGGGGTATGCCCAAAATGCCACGATTGAGGGCCCCGTCCTCAACAGTGGTACAATGCCACTATATCGGGTTGAGATTGTGGCAAGAGATTTTGATGCCACTGTTCAGGGCCTTTCACTATTCAGGGTGCTGCTATATCGGGACCACTACTGTGCTTTACTGGTGGTTCTGTCTCGCTTGTTCGTGGAAACTGGGCGAACCGGGTAGCGGGTACCGGAGGCCTCAATCGATCTAGCGCGGTCAGAGGTTCAGACCGCTCTCGGTGGGCCCGCTCATTCATCTCCATCTCGAGCAGACACTAACAAGACATACGGCCAACACCTTTTTGTTGTTTCTCATTCTTTCACATGAGCGGCACTTCTTTTCTGACTCTCCGCACTCTCCGTGATCTCTCTTGTCCGTTAAGCGTAAACTATAAGCTGCTGATGACGCCAGCATAGCAGTGCACTAGCTCGAACGATTTGGTCGGTTTCTTGCTCAGTCCTTTTTCTATCATATTTCAGCTCCGCGCTCCGCATGACATTTGAAACTCTGTGTGCCGCGCTACAGCTTGCTGCTGCAACGCATACGAATATCTACTCTATTGATGATACACGATGAACCACGCGGCAAGTAGACGCCGGGCGCACTCCCGGCGGTGAGGGCGAGGTCTATTGAGAGGAGCGGCGAAAGCCTCCAGCACTACCGCCCTCCGTTCACCAATGCATATTTCATTTTGATGTTGTAGTCAGATACTACAACACTACCTGCTGTATGGCATGAATCGAGTACGCCCTCTCTCTTTCTGCACCGACCCATATTTATTCTCGTTTCCAATACAATATTGTTACCGACACGAATGCTGAGTACCACTTATCGTGTATCTTGGAATCGATCTATTGAGCGGGACGGCGAAAGCCGCCAGACCACTTGTATACTCTACGTAATCTCTACGTATGAACTTGCCTGTTCAACGTTTGAGCCGTCTTTTAGCTCCCCCCCTCCCGTTGGCCTAGCGAATCGGCGAGTTGCATTCTCGACTGTCGAAGACCTCGCCTCTGTGATCAAACCGTCAGCATCCAGGATCCAGAAGTTTCCTACAACACGAAACACGGAAAAAAAGGAGCACACAAAAAAAAAAGAAGCAATAACCAACAAAAAGGTCAAAACATCCAGGATATACAAGCTACCTGCGCCACAAGAGGAAACATATACATAAAAAAAGAGCAACGACAACGAAAAAGGGCAAAACACCGACGATCTAGAAGTTCCCTGCTGCACAAAAGAAGAGAACAACACGCCGGTGAGAGAAAAGAGTGGGCGGTGGTCTCCTCTACTGTAGAGGAGAAGCGCGAGGTTCGAGGCTTAGCCTGTTCCGCATCCAGATCAAGAACGGGGCATGTGTTGTGAAAACAAGAAAAAGCACAGGGTCGTGTATACCAGAGATTTCTGTTGAAAAAGAAAGAAATAGAAACATAGAAGCAAAAAGTCGGCGCTGCACATGGTACACGAGGGAGGAGATCCGCATTTACATCCGCAAACTTGGTGTTCTCTCCCTATGTGGTAAACTTTGATTATCATCATGTCGATCTCAGTTTCACGGGGGGTAGGGGGATTATCTCAGGAATCATTCACGGGGCACCCACCTGGTACGCTTTGATTATCGACCGTCGTCATGTAAATCTCAATTTGACGGGGGGGGAGGTGGGGGGGTTATCTCAAGAATCATCCACGGGGCACCCACCTGCCGCCTCGTCGGGAGGGGCCCCGTGCTTCTCCATCGCCTTGCACAGCCACTGCACCACGCCCATCCCGGCGCTGCCGGCCCCGCACACCACGAACCTGTACAAATCCCACAACCACACAAGAAAGAAAGAAAAAGACAACACCTCAAGGGTGAAAAACATGCCACGAACAAAACACAAAATAATGAGGAACAAAACAGCTGCTTTCTGTCCGACGCTTCCTGTCCGACCACGTGGACGGAGTAACACCAACCGGAAAGAAAGAAAAAAAGAAAGAAAGAAAGAAAAAACAAGCCACAAAAGTGAAAAACATTCCACAAAAGAAGGAATAACCGAGCAACACACCAAAAAACACGCAAACAAAAAAAGAGGGATAAAACGATAACGATGAAGCATGCCCAGACTTGGGGGGCGAATAAAGCCTCCCAACGAACGACCTTCGGAGGCCTGAGTGTCACTCCATGGAACGGCACCGTTTCAGCTGTGTCACAACAACGCCACTGGACGCATGTGTTGCGCGATTTTTAAGCCGGTAGATTCTCCCCTCTGTCGGGCGGGTGCGAAAATTGCGACACGACAAATCGACATGGGGTTTGACCGAAGGTCCACGCTACTCCCCGAGTGGCCCCATCAACAACCCGAACCGAGCTTCGACCAATAGGCTTCGCCGAGGAACAAGGTTCACGAGGGAACTTGAGGGGGGGGGGGGGGGGGGGGGGGTGCCCCCCGGTTTTGGCTGCCTTTCCGGGTTGAACCATGCCCCCCCGTCCCCCAAAGGAAGGAAAAAGGGGGGGGGGGGAAACATGGGCAAAGTGGAAAAAACC